GGGCTGCGGCGCGGAGGTTGCGGGCAGGTGGGGATCCGTGGCGCTGGGCTGAGGCGTGTGGGGCGCTCCCTGCACCCACGTCCCCACCTCTCTGCCGCCCTTTGTCTCTGAGCTCCTCCTTGCCCCTTAGAGCCGTCGCCTCCGCTTTTCTCCGGGTCGTTCTGGTGAGTTTCCTATCCCCTTAGTTATCCCCGGTCTCCCTGCCCCATATCCCCACCTCCCCAACCCGTGGCCTCCGCTCACAGGCATGTTTCCAGCACCGAGCCTGATGCCTCGTGCATTTATAGGGCTCTATTGCCTTCTCTATCAGAGGGCTTATTTCACCAGTTTCAGATATACCTGATGTGGCTGAGGCTGCAAGGGGTCTGGGCATTAGTGTGTGTGTGTGCGCGCGTGGGTGTGAGAGAGAGAGACTGAATTTGTGAGTGTGATCGCCGTCCTGAACAGGTGTGTGGAGCTGAATGTTTAAATGTGAGGATGATTTCAAAAGTCTGAAGTTTGTGTTTTGTGACCTAAAGAGTGTGTGTGTGTGTGTTTCTGTGTGTATGTAGGAATTGTGTGACTGTCACTGCCTCTGTAGGATTTAATCCATGAAGGGTGGTTGTGCAGAGCCACGAAGGTGTGTGTGGTTGTGTGTCTGAGGGTGTACATGAATGTGTGTGTGTGCAGAATTGTACGACTGTATGCCTGGAATTGCATTTCTGAAGGTGTGTGGTTGTGCGCCTGAGGGTGTACATGAATGTGGGAAGTGTGTGTGTGTAGGGATTGTATGACTGCATGCATGGAGCTGCATTTCTGAAGGTGTGTGTGGGTGTGTGTGTGGTTGTATGTCTGAAGAGTTTGCGTGTGACTGTCTGTCTGGGGTTGTGGATATGTCAATTGCATACAAGAGGTTTTCGAGGTTATGTGTGCCTGTGTGTGTCTGAGTGTGTGTGATGTACGTGGTTTCCATCCCATCTCTCTCTCCCCTCACTCACTCCTCTGGCTAGCACAGCATTGACATAAAATGTATAGAAAGCATTTTCAGTTTGCTCACTGTAGCTTGCTTTAGTTTTAGGGATGTAAGAGGCTCCAAGAGGTAGCCGACACATCTCGTCATATCGAAGTGTCTGGAGGTTGGGAGAACCGAGTGGGAAAGACCCATCCTCACCCCTCACCCTGTAGAGACTGGGGACACTAGAAGGGACATTTTCTGAGCAGGAAACCCAAGAGGTAAGTCCAAAAGAAAGCCTAGATCCAGGAAAGCCTAGAAAAGAGGGAGCCCAGGGTGGGGAAGAAGAGAGAGACCCCGAGAGGCCCAAGTGGAGGTTAAGATCACATTTCAAGTCAAACATTTTTAAAAACTAATATTATTATTAATTTGACAATCACAATGGTATAAACTTATAAGTGACGCAGACAAGAGAAAAATTGATAGTAAGACATTCTCACACTGTAGCATTTTATTCTTAATTTTGTGTGAGTTAGGTTTCTGCTTTTTATCAACCACAGTTGACAACTATATTATAGTCATCAGGTGCTAAGGTGCTGTTTTCTTTTCTTTTAGACAGGGTTTTATGCTGTTATCCAAGTTGGAGTGCAGTGGTGTGATCATAGCTCATTGCAGCCTCAAACTTCCGGGTTCAAGCGATCCTCTTGCTTTAGCCTCTTGAGTAGCTAGGACTACAGGCACGGGCCACTATGCCTGGCTAATTTTTAATTTTTTAAAAA